CCTGTGGCCAGAATGACTCTGTATTCTGGTTTAAGCAGATTAAGACACTTTTCTTGAAAACAGTAAGAATAAATACATGGGAACCCAAATTACATATACATTATCAAGAAAATCACCCCCCATAAAATTTACATGCCAATTGACTACAATTCCCCTCTTCTCCCAATTTTCCCATGAAGAACAGAAAACACAGCCTCCACACCCTCTGTTACGCTCCTCAATGTAATGCTATCAACAGCATATAAACTGTGTGGCTGGGCCGTCCACTTCATTTAACTTTTGAGCAACTGCACGGTGGAATCAAGTGCACGAGATCCTGCACCCCGAAATCTGTCATTCACAGCACTTCAAGGTCACTTCTTCGACTCTGTCTCCCCTTTTCCCCCAGGAGCCCCGGTGGTGCAGTGGTTAAGAGCTGGGCTGCTAACCAAAAGGTCGGCAGTTCGAATCCACCAGCTGCTCCTTGGCAACCCTATGGGGCAGCTCTACTCTGTCCTATAGGGTCGCTATGAGTTGGAATCGACTCAACAGCAACAGGTTTGGGGCGTGTCTCAAACTTTCAGTGGCTGTCTCTCCTTTCACTGCTCAGTGACCCAACAAATGAAAAACTACTTGTATATTCACATACAAATCTCAACATCTTTCGTAAATAAACAAGTGGATACCCCGTGCTTTCTTGCTGTAGTTGGCCTTGACTCAGTGACCCCAAGCGCAACGAAACTAAATGCTGCCTGGTTCTGCACCATCCCCATGATGGGCTGCGGACTGCACCCTTGTGATCCATTCGATTTTCAGGAAGTAGATCTCCAGGCCTTTCTTCCTAGTGTATCTGGAAGCTCCACTGAAACCTGTTCAGCACCATAGCAACAGGACTCACTTGAGATGCACTGGCAGGAAATTGAATCTGGGTCTCCTGCATGGAAGGTGAGAATTCTACCACTGAATTGCTATTGCACCCCCTACCCTGTGCTTTAAAACCCACTGCCATCGAGTCAATTCTGACTCGTAGTGACCCTATAGGTCAGAGTAGAACTGTCCCATAGGGTTTCCAAGGAGTGAGTGGTGGATTTGAACTGCCGACCTTTTGGTTAGCAGCCAAGCTCTTAACCACTGCACCACCAGGGCTCCTGTCCTATAATAAGTGCCATTAAAGATTATGGAAATTAACCTTAGGGTTTCTTCCCCTGGGCATCAGTGGCTGCTTTTCCCAATGTCTTTTTAAGTAACATGGAACGATGTCGCTATTAAATGAGCTTTGTTGTAAATGCTCCCAGGGACGAAGATCACCCTGCATACGCTCCAATGTGCCTCTGAAGTTCTCGGAACAGCGCCGTCACTTAACACAGCAGAGGCTCAGCTAAAATTTGCACAATGCATGCTGTCTCCACTGCCCTGTGACCAAGGTAGGGGCCAGTGAGCTGTCACCTCTCCACTTCACTCAATCTGCCTCAACGACACACAACTCTGACTGTCCTGTCCCCTACCATCATCCCTGTGTGTAAAACATTTCTTCACACTAAGAACTAGGTCACACAGTCTTCTGACCTTGCTGGACACAGCTTGTTTCTGTGGCTTACAAGGGCAACAAGTTTTCAGCAAAAGGTTCTGGAGCAAAGCTAGTGAGCCCTGGTGGTGCAATGGTTAAGCACTCAGCACCGTAAAGGTCCTCAAAGGTCCGTGGTTCAAACTCACCAGCTGCTCAGTGGGACAAAAGACCTAGCAATCTGCTCCCTCAAAGATTACAGCCTAGGAGACCCTATGGGGCAGTTTTACTGTCATATAGGGTCACTATGAGTCAGAATGGCACACAACGTCTGCCCTCAGCCTTTACCTCAGCATCCCCTCTCTGCCCCAAACGCCTGTGCAGGCTTCTCAGGGTTAACTCAGTGAATGAGGGTTCGTGTCGTAAACCCATGCTCAAGAACTTTGTCCTTCACAGGTGCCCATACTCTACTTGCAAAGAGGGCCTCTGGGCTCCCAGGTGTTTGGTTTTGAAGAAATTCCCATTTCATCAAGGATCTGATCAGAAGAGCCTTCGGACAGAAACAAGTGTTCAATCCTAAGATCACTGGCTGAATGTAGATTTTAAAGAATTATAACCCAGAGCAAAGGAAGAGCACCCCACACGCATGCACACACCATTGTTACATGAGGATGTTCTACGAAATCTATGCAGAATCTATGCAAAGCTGATATTCTGCAGGTGTACCTAGGTGTGGGGAGTCCCCGAGTGGTACAAACTGTTAAGGGCTCAAGTACTAACCTAAAGGTTGGTGGTTCAAACTCACCCAGAGGTGCCTTGGAAGACAGGCTTGATGATCTGCTTCCAAGAGGTCACAGCCTTGAAAATCCTATGGAGCAGTTCTACTCTGCACACGTGGGGTTGTCATGACTCAGAAATGACTGGACCACCACCACCACCACCACGCCATGGCCACACTCTGTTAAAATGCCGAAACAGTGAGCCTCTCACGCAAGTCCTCCCCTGGCACTTGGCTCCTCCCACAGAACGCTCCATCATCCCGTGTTCAGACTAGAGCCAGGCATACTACCACCAACTAATATTCTGAATTTCACCCCTTGGGCCTATGCCTAGCTCTTCTCTCCACTGCTCACCCTCTGGCACTGTAGAATCACAAACTGTATCACAAGCTAGCGTGTAAGCTTCCCAGGAGACGCCGACATGCAGCTGAGGCTGAGTACCAGCTCTGGGAGACACCCACAGAGTTGGGACACTTGGCGAGCTCCTAACTGTGGTGGCATGAAATGGAAGACACACACCACTTCAACCCTGGACACACAGACATGCTGGCACAGGACAGAATGACCCACCAGTGGAGACACCTGCAAATGGGAACCTAACAGCAACCTGGAGGTGCTCCGAAGGTATTCTAAAGAAACGAGCAAGTCTGGTGGAAGAACACGGCAGAAACACGGACTCTAACTTCCGTGACTTGAACCCCAGGAAACCTCCAACTCAACAGATATATGACGTCCGTGGACGAACGTGGTAGCTGCCGAGGAATACTGTTAAATTCTAAACCCTCCTTCCACCTCTTTCTTTAGGGCGGATGATGTCAATTCTCTACAATTTCAAAAAATCTTATTTTTTTATTGTTGTGCTTTAAGTGAAAGGTTACAATTCAAGTTAGTCTCTCATATAAAAATTTATACACACATTGTTATGTGACCCTGATTGCTCTCCCTACGCTGTGACAGCACACTCCTCCTTTCCACCCCGGACTTCCCATGTCCATTCCACTGCTCCTGACCCTCTCTGCCTTCTCATCTCACCTCCAAACAGGAGCTGCCCATTTAGTCTCTTGTATCGTTCAGTCTCCTGAGCTACGAATAAGAAGCATACTCTTCACGAGTATCATTTTAAGTCCCATAGTCCAGTCTAATCAAAATATCTAATTTTTTTAAAAAATTCACTCTACCAATTCACTCTAAATACTCTAGAATGTACATTATCTGAAAGATGGTTTCTTATGTAGCTTCTGCTGGAGGCTCAGCCACATTTCTGGACTTTCAAGTCTATCCCACAACATGGGAAAAAGCACGCGGTCATTTTCTGTTTGACTGACGCCTTGTCACCTGGAGTCAGTCGAGAAGATTTAAGATCCATTTGGGCACGCTGTTACCCACCTAGGGAGCCCTGGTGATGCAGCGGGTAAAGCGATGGGCTGGTAACCGAAAGATCAGCGGTCAGAAACCCTGTAGGGTCGCTACGATTCAGAATCGACTTGACGGTAGTGGGGTTGGGTTGCTTCTGGATTACCCAACCAAGGAGCCCTGGTGGTACAGATGGTTATGCTGCTAACCAAAAAGCTGGCCTGGTGATCTGCCAGAGATGACAGCCAAGGAGACCCTTTGGGGAAGTACTACTTTGTCACATGGGGGTCGCTATGAGTCGGAATCAACTCCACGGCAGCTAACAACATTATCCAACTCTTCAAGAGGAGTCCCTGGGTAGTGTAAATGGGTAACACACTCAGCTGCTAATCAAAAGGTTGAAGGTTCAAGTCCACCCAGAAGCACCTCCTAAGAAAGGCCTGGCAATCTACTTCCCAAAAACGAGCCACAGAAAACCCTATGGCACACAGTCTGCTCTGATACACATGGGGTCTCCATGACTTGGAGTTGACTTGATCTCAGCTGGTTTGGTTATTTAAGAGAACTGTGCTTTTATACCCTCGCTAACCCTAAGGTGGTGGAAGATCCATCTAAATTAACAGAACATGACTTTTATCACCATTACCCAGGGAGATCCAAGAATCTAAACCTTACATAAAACTTTCCGTTCACTTATTTCCCGAACCTGTAAGTAAGTAAATCTGCATAGTAAAGGTCTCTGAAAAGCAAGAGTCTTAGGAGCGCAGCCTTTCTGCAATCTTGACTCCTAAGTGCTAACATCCACATGGATTTGGGGAGGCGGCTGGGTGGGAAAACAGACAGGTGATGGGATAGGGCCCCACCTAGATTTCTGGCAACTTCTTACAAGCCCTGATTAATTAGTAACTGTAGTAATATTCCCCTCCATAACAGGGATCACAGATCCCTCATTTTCACAAGACAGCCAGGAGCACACCCCCTCCAAGGGATGTTTTTGCTGCATGGATGCCACAGGAGCTCCAATGCTCGTTGCTCCATGCCCCACCCCCCCACCCCCCCAAACACCCACACTGGAGTCTGCCCAACAATCTACACACCCCATCTGATCGGGAGAGGCAGAGGCCGTGAGTGCAGAAAAAGCCTGTTGCCGCTGAATCGACCCCAACTCATGGCAACCCCATGGGTGTCAGAGTAGAACTGTGTTTCACAGGGGTTTCAATGGCTGATTTTTTCAGAAGTACACCGCCAGGCCTTTCTTCCGAGGCACCTCTGAGCGGACTCGAATCTCCAGTCTTTCAGTCAGCAGCCGAGTGCGTTAACCACTTGGACCACCCAGGGTCTCCGTGTGCACGAAGGGCAAAAGGTAAGGGGTGGGGAGGACTGACCTGGATTGCCTGGCGGCCCTGCTGGGCGTCGGCCAGCAGCTGGATGGTGAGTGCCCGTGAGTCCTGCAGCGCCTCCTGCAGGTAGACGAAGCTGTGGCCTCCATGCCGGCCCATCGTGCACTCACGACAGACAGGCACCGAGCAAGTGTCACAGTAGAGGTGCAGCACCTGGAGACACAAGAGGACAGACATTAGAGAGAGGCACGACAGCAGGAGGCAAGGAGAACAGCCAGTGGGGTGAATCCCAGGCCCAGAACCACCTTCCCAACGAGCAGGCACACCCCTACGGGGAGAGGCAGCAATTCCTGCAACACTGACCGCAGCCAGAATGAATCACTGGCTCTTCCTTCCACCCTCCTGCCCCAAACCAAGGTGCCACACACCACCTTCCTTTAGCTCAGAACCATCACCGACATACTTCTAAGGCAAAGATGAAACGCAAACACCCTCCTGGCATGAGAGATTTCCCTGCATCTCAGATTAATCACCCAGAAAAGTTGCAAGATTATGCTTTTCTAGTCTGAGATTGGCAGCTACATAAAAGAATATACCAGAAGGGTTTCCCTTGCCGCCCCAGCCAAGAGCCAGTATTTCTCACTCTCATATCACTGCTTGTTTCCACTCTCGCCAACAGGAAGATTAGCACAAAGTACAAAGCTTGCTCCTTACAGGCAGGCACTCAAGCAACTATGGGCTTAAGCTTCTGGAACGAAGGCAAAAAAGCTAGTGGTTAAGGTGAGCCAGCTCCTCACCCTTCTTCTTCCTGCCAAGTTATTCGAAGGAGGTGGACCTGGGAGGCGGCCGTCCTGGGGCCCTGCATGCTGGGGGGAGAGAGGGAAGGGCTGGCATGAGCTCCACCTGCTGATAAATGAGGCGCTCTGGAAAGCTCCTTGGCACTGAAAGTGGGCCAGCGTGGTGGCCGCGTCTCTCCACGGGGCAGGGCATTTAGCATGCTCTCTGTAAATGTTTGCTGGATTGCTTTCAAGGGCAGAGCTTAAATTCCCCTCCGGTACACCTGTGCGTGAGGGAAGCTATCCAACATGCACCAGCGACGTCCAAGGGGGATTCTCTCACGTATAGAAAAACGTCCTTAATGCCCAGACGAAGACAAGAGGCTGTGGGCGCTCCAGGCCACACAGCTAGCAAGGGCAGAGCGGGGTGGCCAACGCAAGCCTTCCCAAGAGCCGATTCTAGCATGCGCGTGGTACAGGCGACCCATCGGAGTACAGTCTACGTTCCATGGACACTTGTTCGCAGGTAGATCACCTTGCTGAGCGTGGAGAGCCAGGATGTGGGACTCATGATGAGGCAACTGTGCACGGAACAGCTTGGTGGAGAAGCCGCAAGGGGGGCGAGCTGTGGGAAACTGAGGTAGGGAGGGAGGGCTGACGGCCCTGGACAGAGAGGGACGGGGGACAGGGCGAGAACACCGCTTCTCTCCTTCTCTAGAATGTTTATTAATTGACCGAATCTTAGCATGAAGGCTGTGCATTGGAAAATGACCTTCCCACTGGCTCAGTCAAGCAAACGGGGACTACGGCTCAACTAAGGCTCAGTTAGTTGCTAGTGTTAACAGGGAGGTTTGTAATCCAGCGTGACTCAGACTGCTTCTACGGGAATCTCTGGATTCAGAAACAGGGGTAAGAGATTTAGAATATTATGTTCCTACTTTTTAAAAAGTTCTGATGCAGCATGTTATGGGCTCTATTTTATACAAGGGAAATGTTATGTGGGGCTGTAACTCATCTACCAGTTCTGTCCACTGCAGTACTTTCCCAGCAAGCACGGTACACTGAAACCAGGTGGCGGTAATCTGACTTCTTCATCAAGGCCAGCAGGTGCACCATTTATAGATGTTCTAAGCCCTCTTCTAGTCTGAGAAAGCTAAACTTAAATATTAACCAAAAAATAAGGGCCCTGGTGGTGCAGTGGTTTAAGAGCTCAGCTGCCAACCAAAACGCTGGCAATTTGAATCTATCAGCCGCTCCTTGGAAATCCTACTCTGTCCTATAGGGTCGCTATGAGTTGGAATCGACTTGACGGCAATGTTTTTTTTTGGGGGGTGGGGGGGGGGCGGTTTAGGGTAGGTGTATAGTTAACTTCATTAGAAGCTGCCAGACTGTTTCTCAAAGCCATTGAGCCATTTCACACTCCCACCAGCAGTGAGTGAATGTCTGGGGTTGCTCGCCATCCTCCATCCCTTTCATTGAAAGGTTCCTTTTAAATCAGGATGAAAGATGCCTCTGAAACCTACCACCCCTCTTTTCCCAGACAGCTCAGCGACGTGAAAGCTTCTCTCCTCTCTACCTCTTTCTCAAAACAGCTGTGTGGACTGAATAGGGTGTGGTCCCTTCCTTCACTCTGCCGGCTGATGGGAATACCACACAGCCATCTGACAATTAAGGCTCTCCTCGCACGTCAGAGTCCTTATTCTAGGGTGCATGTGGAAGAAGCATACACAGTCAGTTCGAGCCTGGCACTCTCTGGCTGGCCGACTCACCTGGGAAAACACACTGGATCTGTCTTAGTCTCTTAGCGCTGCTATAACAGAAATACCACAAGTGGGTGGCTTTAACAAACAGAAAATTTTCACAGTTTAGGAGGCCAGAAGCCCAAAGTCAGGGCACTGGCTTTAGAGGAACGCCCTCCCTGTCCCCCCCGGGGGAAAAACCCTTCTCTCCTGTCAGCTTCTGTTCTTCCGTGATTCCACACAATAGCAATCCTTCTCCATCTGTACTTCCTTCCCTGTGCCTAATGTGCTCTTTTGAGATCTCAAAAGTAGCTGCCTGAAGACCCCCTACACTGATATGGTCTCATTAACCTAACAAAGAAAACCTATTCCCAACTGGGATCATACCCAAGTGTATAGGGGCTGGGATTCCAACACGGGGCCGGGGGAGAGACACACGTAACTTAATCCATTACCAGGGTCTGCCTGGGTACCCTAGCCCTTCCTGCCTGAAATCCCAGCAGCCCTATCTCCTGGGCATCAGAAACAAAGATGCTGTGGCATAACTCTGGGCTGACCCAGAGCTCCGGGTCCCGTTGTGCAATGACAAGGAATTAAGGCGATTTTCCCGAGTTTTTGATTCTTCACTGTAATGTACAGAACCTGGATCATGCTGGGAACAGAAAATACCCCGCAAGATTTTTGTAGGGTTTAAAGGATTCCACAATGCAGGGGCCAGAAAAGAAATCCTAGGGGGCAGGCAGGGGGAGGGTGCCTGACACCCCCTGACACCAGGCCTCTTGCCCAGCCTTCACAGCACTGACACCTCTAAAATGAGTGCAACCCCCACCTGGACATCACCACGGCACGTGGAATCAATGCAGTCCCGAGCGCCCGGGGCACACTGTGGTGTCAGAAGGGCCAGTGTGCGGTTCCAGTATGCCTGCACTGACCACGGATGGTGGAGGCGCAGGCGACACCAGACGGCTGATCATCAAAACTACTGGTGGGTAGAAGCAGTCGAGAAATGAAACAACATATCGCATTGGGCAAATCTATTGCGAAGAAATCTTTTTAAAGTTTAAAAAGCAAAGACGTCACTTTGAGGACTAAGGTGCGCCTGATCCAAGCCATGGTATTTTCAACTGCCTCATATACATGCAAAAGCTGGAAAAATGAACAGGGAAGACCTGCAGAAGAACTGTTGTCTCTGAATTGCGGTGTTCTCGAAGAATACTGAATATACCATGGACTACCAGAAAAACAAACACATGTCTGTCTTGGAAGAAGTACAACCAGAATGTTCCTTAAAAGGGAGGACAGTGAGACTCATCTCACATAGTTAGGACATGTTATCAGAAGGGACCTCTCCCTGGAGATGGACATCATGCTTGGTAAGGCAGAGGGTCACTGAAAAAGAGGAAGACCCTTGATGAGATGGACTCACACAGCGGCTGCAACAATGGGCTCAAACACAGAAACAACTGTGAGGATGGCGCAGGACTGGGCAGTGTTTTGTTCAACTGCACACAGGGTCGCTATTAGTCACAACCGACTCGACGGCACGTTGCAACAAGAACATTTTTTTTTTTAAATTCAATTGAAAACCTCTATAACGTGTCCAGTTTCTATAAACCTTCTGGCTAAATCTGGAGTAAAATTTTGGGTAAGATTTCCCACTGGATTTAGAAATTCCGCATTTTATCTATCTGCAATTTCTAAGATCACAAAAAAACAAACAAAACAAATCGACAGGTAAGGATGTGCATGGGTGCAATTCTCTCCCAAGCAGCTGGAAGGTTATCTGAAAGGATAAACTGGAGCCCGGTTCTCCATTTAAAGGGCCACGCAGGGTTGTGAGCTGCGGAGGTCCTCTGGTGGCAGGAATTCAGGGGCTGGTAGGGGCTTCCCGGGCAGGGGGCTTGGACACGCCCCCCGGGGCCTGGCGACAATCTGGCTGCCCCGGCTGAATGGAGCAGGCCTGACCTCTGACCCGACAAGTGACCACCCTCTTCCCTGCCCCCCGGCTTCCAGAAAGCCCCACCCATGGCCTTCCTCTCCCAAAATTTCTAAAATACCAGGCAGAGACAAAGACCCAGGAATGTGGGCCCAGCAGGAAGGGGAAGGGGAGGGGGAGGGCTAAAGGAAAAATAAATAAATAAAAATACCCAGTGGGCAGGCTGATCTTCGCTGGTTTTCTAAATAAAATGCTTTGTCAATGAAAAGGACTTGGGATGTATGTGTGCTTCCGGAATCTAACTTTTCACCCCCCTTGTGGTCCAACAAGGAATACAGCCATCTCGGGGCTCCACTTAGTGCACCCCACATCTGAAAGAACAGGCTTGAGGTTTAAAAGACAACCAGCCACATCACAGTGAGGAATGTAAACTAAAAGGATGGGGGGCCTCGGATGGCCGGAGTAAAGATGCCCCCACTAAAACAGTAACCAAGAAAACAACCCAAAAATATTTTTAAAAACCTAAAATAAGGCATAGTGACGCCTATAAATGTATTTATCAACATTTCTGCGATATCCCTTTTAAAATGCCTGGAAACATTTGGCCTCACACCAACAAGGGGGTCTGTGTCCCCCCCATAGAAATGAAAGGGTGACCACGGCTTCCAGAAGCAAGGTGGGGCCCTGAAGCCTTACCTGTGTGCCCCTCTGCAGGCTCCCACCTGGGGCAACAGCGGGGGTTCGTTTAAAAAAAAAAAAAAA